CCTCTCTGAAGGCTTCTTAAGGATGGGCTCCTGGAGTAGAAACCCGCCTCAGCCACTCAGCATCCATAGGGTGCTTGGAGTCTGGTCCTGGAAGCTCACAGGCCCACAGGAGAGTACAGTAGACAGAGCAGCTCCAGTCCAGCCCTGTCACCCACTAGTGACCGTCCTCGGATGCTTGCTCGTCCTGGGACCTGCTTTCTCCTCTGTAAAGTTCGGGGGATGCGGTGGTGTCACTGCTTGGAGGGTGTCTTGAACACTCAACCTCCACAGCTGTAGGCCAGCTCAGGGCACTCTGTGCTCCATTCCCAGAGCATGGACTGCACCTGGTCCACTCCCATCTCCCCGGTCCCAGAAAAACTGTCGTCCGCACTCTCTTTTCCTTGGAGAATGAAGGTTTGCAGTGCAGCTGCCAGGTGCTGGGTCTGCACATTCCTCCTGCCATGGCTGCCCATCCCCTGGCTGTGATCTGTTCTTTCTTTTCTTTTCTTTATCTCTCTCTATTTTTGTTGGTTCTGGAGCTTGACCTCAGGGCCTAGACACTATCCTTTGGATTTTTCACTTATGGCTAGCATTCTACTACTCGATCCACAGCTCTACCTTCAGCTTTTTGAGTAGTTAGTTGGAGCTCACAGTCTCCTGGACTTTCCTGCCTAGGCTGGCTCCAAACCTCTGATTTCAGCTTCCTGAGTAGCTGGGATTCCAGGCGTGAGGCACTGGTGCCCAGCTGTGAACTGTTTCTAGTGTTCTGGTCACAAAGGACTGGAGGATGGGAATGGAAGGAGAGGAGCCTCGGGTCCCCTGACCCCTGCAGATGGTCTCATCTTCCAGACGCCCCCCTGCTGCCCATTGCATAACGCCTCAGGGCTGGCGAAGCCTCTGGCCTTTGAAGCCTTGAACACCCCTGTCCCAGGTACCGTGTGCACCACAGCCAGGTGCTGCCTCCAGGAGTGGCTTCATTGTCGGCACATGCTACCATAGGTCTCCTGTCTCCTCACATGTCTCCTTGGTCCCCTCCCTCCTTCCTGTTCTTTCTTAATAGAAAGGGAAATTGGACCAAGCCTCCCCTCCCTTACTGCCCAGCCAGGAAGAGGGAGGTATAGTGATTTTATAAAATGCTCACTGGGTGGGCCAGGTCCCTCACTCCTCTCTCTGAACCTCTGTTTCCTTGATAGACATGTCTTGTCTCAATAGTGCTGGTCTGCTCAGCCTCCTCCTCCTGTGGTTGACAGGGCACAGGGATCCCCGCCCCACTTCCCACCATGCCTGGGCCCCAGGATTGATGGCAGCAGGGGCACCTGCCAGTCAGCTGTCTTTGAGTCTGAGTGAGCACTGTCTTCTCAAAGTCCAGTGCAGCCAGCATCTGGCTGGGTTTACAGAGGAGGAGAATTAAGGAGGAGCGAAGCAGCTGGTCTCCAGAGCTTCCAGATCATCCCTGCATTTGACTTAAGCCATTGGGATTGCTCTGTGAAGCTGTTGTCCTTAACAGCCAACATGGAGACCAATAGCAATTTGTCAGCATAGTTCCGGGTCTGTCTGTGCCATGCTTTTTACCCTAGAAAGCCCTATGGGAGCAGAGCTTGCTATTGCTATGGGTGTAGAGCCCAGATTTTCTGAAAATCCTGGTAATTTGGCCAATGGTTCCTTCCTGGTGGGTGTGTTGTCATATTACTACTCCTACACACACACAGCACCCTAAGCAAGGGAAATGTTTGCTGAACTTGCTGACCTCAAAGACCTACTCCACAAGCCACGAATGTCATTCAGTCCCAGGTACCTTCCAGCTTTTTTCTATGCCTTTTTTAGTGTGTCACTTCTGTCCTCATGCTTGTAAGATGGCTGCTGAATTCCTGTGCACCTCACTCATGGCCCAGGTAGGAAGCAGGTACCTGGGATTTTTGTTTTAACTTTACATTTAAAAATTTTTTTATTGCTATTGTGAAGGTGATGTACAGAGGAGTTACAGTTACATAGGTCAGGTAATGAGTACATTCCTTTTTGAACAGTGTCGCCTCTTCCCTCGTTTTCTCCCAGATTTCCCTCTTGACTTCCCTGCCCCACAGGTTGTGTAGTTCATTTTCATCATGGTGTCTAGTGAGTGCCACTGCTGCATTAGTTCTCCCTTTGTCCCTCCATTTCTGTGTTCCCTCTTACCCTCCCCCAAGCAGATAAACTTACATACAAGATGAAAGAAATCAAAATCAGTGACAAAGGAGAAAAAACAACAACCACAAACAACCCAGAAGCAGAATAACATAAAACTCCTTGTTTCCATTTCTTGGAGTTCATTTTGATAAACATCATTTTATATGATCATATGCACATAGCTACCGAACCTTTGTCATCTTCTCCTGAGAATATCCTCCTTTGGTCTCACGGTGTGAAAGTCTAATTTATCATGCCCAAGTGTACTGTTTTCTCTCTTACTACCCATTGGGTTTACTTGTAGATTTGTAGGCTCTGTCTGTGCGAAGCCCGCCATTCCCTCTGGTGTCTGGCTGTCTGGTGTGGAGGCAGCTGTTATACAGATGTCTGCAATTGTGGCTGGTAGGACAGAGCACGAGGGGATGGATGTGTGTGTGTGGTGGGAGGCAGGAGGGGGCCTCTGGGGACCTTTTTGTGTCATGCAGACATACATCCCCCAGTGCAGCGAAGGGAGTGTGGTTCAGCAGGCTGGGAAGAGCCGCTCCAAGTGTTGGTGTAACCTGGGTGTGTGAGAAATGACCTGCAGCCACTAAGACACTTGTTTATCCTCAGACAGTCCAGGTGCACAGGACTTCCTAAATCCTTTTTTTCATGTCATGCCTGGCATATGGTGGAAAACAGGACCTTAAAAGAACAGCCTTTGAGTTTGCACTCTACATGTCTGTGACGGGTTCAGATGCTACTCCATCATCCCAGCCCTGTGAGCTTGGGCTAGTTGACCCGGCCTCTCTCCGGCATGGTTTCCTCATCTGTGCAGTAGGATGGTCCTTATGCTCTAGGGTTATGGGGGTTCCAGAGAGATCACAGGGGAGATCAGAGGCCTCTGGGAGATGTCAGATGTGATCCACACCTTCACTCTCCCTCGTGATACAGTAGTTTCTAGAGTCTTCAGAGTCAGTAAGAGAAGGATCACTGTGCCTGGGCTTTTGTCCTTCACATCTCTGGCTGCTGAGACTCTCAGAGCAGGGTCTTCTGAGGTCTGTTGCTGTGCTGTGGTAAAACAAGGTTCCTATGAACCTCTGGAGGTGGAGGAGCTGGGGGGAGATGCTGGTCTACCATTGTCTTAGCCAGGGGGAGGGGGTCTCCTGGTGAGCCTCAGGACAGGGCACTGTCCATCTGGTTGGAGTCTGGCACTGTAGTCTGCTGTCCTGGGTTTCTGGTGTCCTGTCTTTGTGGGAAGATGGACACGCATTCCTCCCTCACAGACACTGGCTGATTCATCTTGCCAGGGACAGGACGGAACGTTCCTTTGGGACTGGAGAGGACAATGGCTTGTGTTTGTGTGAACTTCAATTCTCCTGGTCTCAGACGTGGGCTGGCCTAGAAGTGTGTGTGTGTGTGTGTGTGTGTGTGTGTGTAAGAGAGAGAGAGAGAGTGAGAGAGTGTAAGGTGGACAAGAGAGAAGAAAGAGTGAGGGGGAGGGGGAGACAGACCCTTGGCAGGAGGACCCAGAGCCTCATGATCGAGGTTCTAATCCTGGTTCTACCACTAGCAGCCAGTGGCGTTGAAGGAGACACGTGTGAAGTAGGGTTCCCAGGCTTTGCTGTGGCCTGAATCACGTATCTTGCTAGTTCTTGGTGAATCCTCTGCAAACTTTCCCGCTCCCTGCACCCACACATGGTTGAGAAGCAGCCTGCACCTGGTCCCCTAGCTCACCACTTAGTACTCAGACACTGAGGTGGCCATAGCCAACGTCCTCTCTATCCTGACCTGCTCAGAATGGAGGGCAGGGCAGGGCAAGGTCACAGGCCCTGACGATAACGCTTACATGTTTCCAAGGAGTCACACACCTGCATCTCGCTGGCTATCTGAGGTGTGACAGGACGGGCCATTTGTGTCATAGCCAGATGAGGAACAGAGCAGGAAACTAATGCAGGACTGGGGGTGGAGGGGTGGGGGAGGGGAGTTGTTTCTTGAGGGGAGATGAAGCACCATTAACACAGTGCTCAGAGATGGTACCCTGTCAGCCCTGAGTGCCACAGTGGGCAGGGTCCTTTTCTGCCTGGGCTGGGCAGTGTAACCTAGGACCCCAGCTTGAGACCACTCTCTCCCATTTAGGAGGTGAATGAACGCTCAGAGAGTCTGTGTTGGGGTGTGGGGGATGGGGATTTGAGCCATTGTGTGTACAGTCAGAGGGGACACCGCCTAGCTTGGCCTATTTTTAGATGGAGCCATGTGGGCATGGAAGACAATAAAGAATGTGGATCCACAATGGGTTATTGTTCCTATGGTGCCTTCAGGGCCCAGCAGATGACCAGCAGCCCCTATTGGGAAGGCCAGGGGGGCATCACCCCAGCCACTGGGTTTTTTCCGGTACTTGTCATGGGCAGGGGAGAAGGGCTAGGGCCTGTGGGAGGAGAAGGAGGCGGGGAAACAGGGGTTAGCTCTGTGCTCTAGGGACATAGTTTTGAGGTGACAAGGCAGATAGCTCCAGAAGAAGGGTGTAGGGATACGCCCTGGCACTGCCAGCGATCTGGACCTTCCCTGTGCTGTATGTGCATCTTACCACCTTGCAGATTCTTCCACCTGGGCAGGTTCTCCCCATCCCTTGGGGGTAGTAAGGGGCCCTAGACTTCTTGTTTTCAAAGTAGCTCCTCCTTCCTAGGATGGGGACAGGGCTGTATGTATGTGCATGCATGCACATATATGTGTTTGAGACAGGTCTTGCTACCTAGATACCTGTGGCCCCAAACCAAGTGTCTGGTGGCCCAAGAAGGTGTGTACAGTTGGGACCACATGGGAGTCTCCAGTCAGTGTACAGTCGCGTGAACCCTGCCCATGTCTGCTGTCTCTCCTAGGAGCAGGACATTGAAACCTTACATGGCTCCATTCATGTCACACTGTGTGGAACACCCAAAGGAAACCGGCCCGTTATCCTCACGTACCATGACATCGGCATGAACCGTAAGTTCCCACGAGCCCTGCTTTCCTAGTCAGTGGTCCTTGAGAGAAGAGAAAGGAAACACCCACTAAGAAGGGCTGAAAAGTATGGAGTGTGGGGCTTGGAGCTGTCTGAGAGCCTGGATATGGCGGGAACATGGGAGCTTCAGTTGTTTTATGTGGACTACTGTTCTGTGTACATGGTCCACGTTTTGTGTAACCGTTCTTCAGTAGGTGGATATCGGGCCATCTCCCCATTTTGCTGCTGTGCACAGTGCAGCTAGGAATGTTTAGATACTGAACTGCTAACATGGAAGGCAGCGTTACTCTATAAAGGGACTGGAATAGGGTGGACCTAGTGCCCCTCCATTGCAGCAAGAGACAGACCTGCAGTTAAAATCACATGGAACACAAGTGGGTCTTTCTTTGGAGAAGTAGAAAGCACTCATCCCTTGTGAATTGGAGCCTTCAAGATGGAGGCTTGCTTGATTTTAGATGATGAACTCCAAAACTAGCATGATGTCTGTCACTGGAAACCACTTTTCCCTTCCATCTCTTGTATCAATCCCATCTATCATTTGTATCTATTACGTATAATTTCCTGCACTAGATACTTTGTACATCATTCTAATTCATCAGACTGGGATAAGGAAATGGAATTACATAAGGAGCTGTTAATCCTCTGTTTTAGAGAGGCCCTCTTTTAGTTCTAGTACACTAAATGATATACTGAAAGACCCCGAGATCTCTGGAACTTAACACAGTATAGGATTTTTGCGCACTCATGTAAAACCCAGTGGGTGTGTTCCATGTGGTGATTGAAGGACCGAGGCTCCCTCTAACTTGTGGCTCTGTAGCTCTCCTCCTCTTCTTCTGGCTTTCTCTATCTGATAAGTAGATGGGGGGCAGGGAGGAAAGGGAAACACAGAACACTAGATACCGGAGGTAATGAGAACCGATTGACACTCCATGTTGGCCAGACCCTGGTCCCGTGACTTTCCTTAGGTACAATGGAGTGTGGGAAATGTAGTTCAGCCATGAGTCTAGGAGGAAGCAGAAGAGACAATGATTTGAGCCATCAGTGCTTCAGCATCCAGTGATTGGCAGATTCATCTCAGGCCACTTAAGTAAATGGCTCATGCTTATTATGTTTCTTTTGTCTGGCTGGTACCTGAGACACGGGGGGGGGGGGGGGGGGGGGGGGGGGGGGAGGGGGGGGCCTGGGGGGGGTGGCTAGGAGACCCGGGGGAAAAAGTATCTGTGGATCAATCCCACCTCTTTACTTACGCCTGACAGCCATAGCTGGGGAAAACACAGGAGCCAGACAGGGAGCCCTTCCCTTGCAGCCCCAGCCACAAGCTCAGGACTCCCTGCAGTACATGCAATTTGCAGTGGAGGTGACAGGCCACCTCCACCCCTGTACTCACTCCTTGGCCCCATGACTGGTTCCCACTTTTTCACCAGAGGAAGGTTGAGTGGGATCGGAGAAGTCCTTCTTGTGAGCCCCTCTCCTCTTGAACAGCATTGAAAGGAACAAAGAGAACATGCTTTGTCCCCAGCACTTACTCTCTCTCAACTCCTTTCACCCCCCCTGCCTCTTCTCCAGACAAAACCTGCTACAACCCCCTCTTCAACTCCGAGGACATGCAGGAGATCACCCAGCACTTCGCCGTCTGCCACGTGGATGCCCCTGGCCAGCAGGATGGGGCTCCTTCCTTCCCCATGGGGTGAGCGCTGGGGACCTTGTGCCCTGTGGGCGGGGCAGGGTGGACATGGGGATGGGAGCCTGAAACTGGCTTTAAAACTGGTCATCATAGTAGTCAGATAGAAAATTTGCTATTTCAGCCTTTCTTTTGTGATTATACCTACATACATACATATATATACATAAATATAATACCTACATATATATGTGTATATGTATATACATATATATATATAAGCATTCTCCATTTAACCATTTTAAGGGTACAGTTAATGTCATTAGGGACATTCAAATGCTGTATGTGACATGTACATATCATCACTATTTCCAAACTGAAGTATGCCTGCCAACTCCTAACAACTCCTAACTGGCTAGGCTGCCTGGCTAGAGCTTAGCCTGGACTGACAGACCTGAAAAAGGTTTTGACAAGACCAACTTGTAGGGGGAGAAAGCCCTAAAAAGTAGAGAAGGAAAAGCGGTGAGGAAATGATACTGATGGTGTTTCTTGAGTGCATGGTACCCTGTTGGCCAGAACCCCTTCACAGGGTTAGTTAGACATTCCTGGTTACAAGGGATCTTGGGAACCGTGGTCCAATTATGTGTCCAGGAGGAAATGGGTCCCGGTTTGCTCAAATGTCACTTGACTTAATCCTTGTGGCCAGTTGACTATGGACGGTTTGTCGGCTGCATTTTCTACATGAAGAGGTGGAGGCAAGGAGGTCAGTTCCCTTCTTGAGGTCCCACAGTGGGGAATAGGAGCCAGGCTTTGACCCTGGTGTGACTGAAAGGTCTGCATCAAGTTACAGCATCAGGCTGCCTTATTGTACGGTGAGCTTGTGGGTATCAGGACATTTAATTTTCCCACAATGCACTACAGCCAGGCTTTCTCTTCTTCCCCTCATCCAGAGGGTCCTGGGCAAGCACTAATACTAATAAATTAATGATCCAGTCCCAAATTCTCATGGCTAGACTGGCTCCAGCCAGCAGAGGTGCTTACCCACGCCTCGTGCAGGGTCCTTCCTTGAGGTGACAGGCATTCAAGTTGGCATTTGAAGACACCCCTTTTAATTATGTTTCTTTGTTGCAAGCACCTGTTTTTAACTCAGTTTCTCATTCTTGCTCAACTAGAGTTCTGTCACTTAAGCCACGCCTCCAGCCGAGCTTTATGGCTGGTTAATTTTGGATAGAGTCGGCAGAATTTTCTGCCCCCATTGGCTTTGAACTATAATCCTTGAGATCTTGGCCTACTGAATTGCTAGGATTACTAGGCCTGAGCTATTGGCACAGGCACTGTCTTTAATTATTAACCTTTATCAGAGAAGAAGGGAAGGGACACCCAGCCATATGGAGCCAAGACCTGGAGTTTAAAACAACAACAACTAAGATGTATTAATCAAGGGATGCAGTTAACAGCGAAGCAGCAGATAAAGCAGAGGCCTCTCTGTAGGTCAGTCTTCACTTAGGCCCACTGTTTGAAAAGACTTGGAGTCAAGCAGAGCTTCTTACTCTTCAGGGGAGGTTTTACAATACCCACAGCCCCATCGGGGACTTTTATTCACTTGATCTGGAGACCAGGGTGACAGATATTTTCCCAAAGCTGGGGAACATTTGTTGGGCGGGAACCACATTTCTTCCTGTTTCTGGAGTCAGAACGGGAGGCTTTTTCTGGTCTCCAAAGCCATCGTTCTGGGACTGAGTCAGAAAGGCAAGTCCCATCGCTGGTCCGGACTCCTCCCTATCCACAGGAGTCTTGCCCCACCCCTGCTCTGATCCAGTGCTAGGAAGTGGGAGGAAACAGAAGCCCCTATGGTTAAGTTCCAAAGTGACCACTCCACAAGGACCCTCTGTCCTCTTCCCTTCAGCAGTCACATCATTCAGCTCCTTCCAGACCTTTCTTGAGCTTCCGTGTGGCCTAGACGATCTCCTTCCTCCAGGACGCCCTCCCTGACCACTTGAGTGGAATAAATCCCCTACTGTGTCCCCTCAGCCCTCTGCCCTCCTGTGCGGCTCATGGTGTGTCACCTTGTTGACTCAGCGCTGGCTCCGGTGCAGGGCCACATCTGCTCTGTTCACATGGTGTCTCGGCCTCAGAGCAGATGCCCAGCACGAGGGCTTGTTGGACACCCCCTCCCTGAGGAGGACTGCGGAGGCCCGAGAGTCGCGGGTGTCTCAGCTACCCCAAAGCCACGCCAATCACACAATCACACAGCTCCTTCTAGCTGATTGTCCATCGGCCTTGAGCACCACGAGGTTTCCTGCTGGGCCTGGTGACAGCACTCCCTCTGGGAGGAGCCCATACAACACCCCTTGACCAAAGGAAAGGCGGAGAGCTTGGTGGGGGGTGGATGGATACCCCGTGGCTAAGGAAGGGTGCTGTATATGGGGTAGGTTATGGCTGTCCCCGTGCAGCCAGCGTGCCCTGGTCTGGATTGCTGGGACCTGGACTCTCAATGAACTGCCCCTCTGTGTCTCTGCCAGGTACATGTACCCCTCTATGGACCAGCTGGCCGAAATGCTCCCTGGGGTTCTTCACCAGTTCGGGTGAGAATGAGGGACCCTCTTCCCCTGGCTTGCACAGAAGGGTGACTTCCAGCCCCCTCCTTTCCTTAGCCCTGACCTGGTCTGACTCCTAAGCCGTGGCCAGCATTTCACCGTGAGGTCAGAGGGAGCTGGCTACCTGGGTACCCACAGTTCCTCCTGCATCGACGCCCCACCTTCCCCCCTCCCCAGATCGCAGCAGCCTCTCTTCTTGAGTAGTCACATCATGCAATAGAAGTCACTCCCGTTCTGTCCTTGTCTCTTCCCCCCCCCACCCCCCATTTCTGTACTTGTTCTCATGGAATGTTCTGGAATAGGACCACCTGAGGCCTTAGCTTGGCTGCAGATCCTGGGTTTACCTACGCAGAGCTGAGGCTCCGTGGTGTCTCATTTGATCCTTTCCCAGGGTGATAAACCTCACAGTTTACACCCAGGCTGTTATCACTCCAAGTTTCAGGATCCAAAATAAAGCCGTAGTAGTAGGAAGTGGCCAGGCCTTGATGGGCCTTCCGGTCAATGTCAGGAGCTTCTCAGATGCTTGGCAGCACAAGGGGAACAGGAAAGGGGGCGGGGAGGGGGCTCTCAAAGACCATGGTCCCTGTGGGGTCATCAAGCTTGATGCATTCCCCCCTCCAGAGTGCCTCATGGCAGTGGCTCCACACAGTCATGCCCGTCAGCTGCCCTCAGCGGGGACGGGACAGGCAGGGAGGGGACAGGGTTCCTTAGGAGCTGGGACAGGGGCGGTGGGGGCGGGGGAGGGGGAGCGGCCATCACCTCTCACCTCCACTTCCAGGCTGAAGAGCGTCATCGGCATGGGCACGGGAGCAGGCGCCTACATCCTGACTCGATTTGCTGTGAGTGTCTTCAAAAAGCTGTAAACACTTGGCTGGGTGTTGTTGGCTCGTGTCTATTATCCTAGTTACTCAGGAGGATCGAGGTTCTAGGCCAGGCTGGCAGTAAGTTCCATGAGACCTCACTGCAAGGGAAGAAGCCCAGGGTGGCAGTGGCCTGCACCTGATGTCCTGGCAAAGGTGGGAAGTGTAAATAGAAGGCTGGGTCAGGTTCAGGCCAGCTCAAGGGAAAAGCCAGACCTGTGCCAAATACAAGCAGAGCAACCAAGAGCTGGAGGCATGGTTCAAGTGGTAGAGAGGCCTGCCTAGCCAGTGTGAAGCCCTGACTTCAGACACAAGTACTACTGCCCCCCAAATGATTCTTTAATTAACTGGATTCAAAAGTTAAGCCTCAGAAGCCCCAAAAGGGAGGGCAGGCAGGGAATACCCATGGCACGTGCCCGTTGGTGACGTGTGTGTGTGTGTGTGTGTGTGTGTGTATGTGATAAATCTCAGTTACACACAGGACAGCTTTGGTCTCTGTCTCTCTAGTGACCACACTGGGATGTCCTTTGCCCAGGATCCCGTCCACTGAGCAGCTAGCGGGGGAGCGGGGGGGGGGGGGGGGGGAGGGGAGGCAGGTCCCTCACTCCCTTGTGGTAGTCATAGGTATTTGTAATTGAGGGCACTGGATTTCAACTAGAATCTGACACCTGTGTTCTCATGACAGTTGTCACTGTCAGGACTGTGTCCCAAGGCTGGTATCACCCTGTTCTCAGTACTTCACCCCACAGTTGTTTTCAAACGGGGCTCTGCTCAATCCCTGAGTGGCCCTCGGATGAGGGCTCAGAGCTGTACCTGGCAGAGGTTAGAGATGCTGGATGAGTCCAGCTTGGCCAGCCCCGGGGGCTCTGGTCAGACGCACCAGTGGTTCCCACCGGATTGTAGGCACAGACGTGTTTCCTGGGAGTAATGGACTTGCCAAGCATGTGAGCTCTGGCTGGCTGGGATGGCGGCTGGGGTGTTGCGTGCATCAGCTTGGCTGGGTAAAGGGACTCAACCCACCTGCAAGGTCTGTGGAGCGCATGTGGGTCCTGCCTTCTTCCCAGCACCTTCCTCTCTCCGCGCCCTTAACGCGGCAATGACTGGGCTGGGATCTCAGTTTGAACTGGCAGAGCTGGGGGGGTGTGGGCTGTTGATGTTCCTGAGACCAGCTGTCTGCTCCAGACTCTACACTGACCGTTTTCTAGACGCGTCTCCCGAGCTTGCTTTTGAAGTTCCCAGGGTTTTTGACTGCCTTGCTGTTTGTCTTACCTCATGTGTCCCCGTGCAGCTAAACCACCCCGAGATGGTGGAGGGCCTTGTGCTTATCAACGTCAATCCGTGTGCGGAAGGCTGGATGGACTGGGCTGCCTCCAAGGTGAGTGGGGGTGGGGAGCTGGGGAAGGCGGCACCGCACTGCCTGGAGAAGCCTTGAGCCCCCCTCCTCTTCTCCCTACCATGCACCCAGCCAAGAGCGGCCTCCTTATAATCCTAGCTTTTCAGGAGGCTGAGATCTGAGGATCGTGGTTCAGAGCCAGCCTGGGCAGAAAAGTCCGTGAGACTCTTACCTCAGGAAACCGCAAGGGGTGCTGTGGCTCAAGCGGTAGAGTGCTCGCCTTGAGCTGAAGAGCTCAAGGACAGTGCCCAGGCCCAGAGTTCAGGCCCCACGACTGACCCAAATAAATCAATAAAAGAGTGGTCTCCTTCTGCTTCGTTTATGCCAGCCAGTATGGCTGCTACGGCTTGCCACTGAGAAGGTTTAAAGAGGCCTCTGCTGTCTCCATCAGGGGACCTTTGGGAACAGCCTCCAGCCAGCTCGATAAGCATCAGCCAGAGTCCTGAGGTTTTGCTGGGTACCTACCAGGTGCAGGGCCTTTTTCAAATAGGTGACTGTGTCCGATGAAACTTGTGGTGGAGGAGCGGACAGCCCGTTGGGAACCCAGGGGCTGCTGCTGGAGTTGCTTGTCACAGTTGGCTCCCGTCTGTGTTGAGCTGATCATGCTGCTTCCATTCCGCCTTTCTCCACCTCACGGGGCTGTCACAACCCCTCCAGGAGGCAGGCCCCTTCCAGCCTTCACCAAGAGGAGGAAACTGGGGCTCCGTGCTCAGGCAGCACAGCTAAGACGTCTCTGTGATGGGGCACCGTGGCCTGGCATTCCCAGGGCTCCCAGTCTGGGTGGAAATTCACCAGCCTGAACTTCAGGACTGACAGCAGGGGGAGACGGGCCTGAATGGCTCCCGAAGTTCTGCTCCAACTGGAGTCCTGTGGCAGCCCAGGATCCCAGGACCCTCTATCAAGATCTCTTCTCCCTGACTGATACCGAATCAGCCATTACACATTTGTGGAGCTCCTTTCCCAGGCCTAGTGGTTTGCATCTCCTACGGTGTACCTGGCATTATGGAACTCCTGTTGTAAACCTAGGGAAACTGTCTGGAGGAATGAGAGCTAGCAGATGGTGGAGGGCTAGCCGGGGACAAGCAGATCCTGGGGTGTAGACTGGATGGGAGTGGGGGGTAGGTGTCCTCAGGGTGTGTTCAGAAGAGGTGCTGAGGACTCAGTGAGTCTTTGGAGCGGGGTAAGTGAGGCCGGGCTGGGTTCTGGTAGAGCACCACCTCCTCACCATGCACCGCCTTTGCATGGACTCTGAGATAAAGAACAGGAGGTAGATCTGGGCCCGCCTGCCAGGGCCCGCGTGCCCAGTAGGGGACCAGGACAGAAGCCAGGCTCCAGTGGAGGAGGCCTCCCGGACAGCTTCCACTACCTGAAATAATCAAGCAGGAAGGGTTGGCTTTGCCTCCAAGTTTGGGAGGTTTCAGTCCGTGGTGGGTTGGGCCTGCAGTGAGGACATTATGATAGGAGTCTGGCAGAGCAGAGCTGCCCACCTCGTGGACAGGAAGCGAAAAATAAAAAGGAAGGAATCTTACAATGTCCTTCAGATGAAGCCCCCCAATGACCTAAAGACCTCCCGCTCAGCTCTTACTTGAAGGATCCAGTCGTGCCCCGTGGGGGCTGAGGCTCCAATGCCTGAGCCTCTGGGGACAGTTAATCATCACAGAGCAGGAGGTGTCCTGTGGGGTGTCCTGCGGGGCACTCTGTCCCCAGCGTGTGGCCTTGTTTGACCTTTTATTACTTCCACGCAGCTTGTTTTCTAACCCGCCGTCTCCCTCCTGCAGATCTCCGGATGGACGCAGGCCCTGCCGGACATGGTGGTGTCCCACCTCTTCGGAAAGGTGAGCGGCTCAGCCCAGAGTCCTGCTCTTCCTGGTATGTGCATGATCCATCGCAGGGGCCTCAAGAGTGGGTTGTGATGACAGAGCACAGTCAAGGGACCGTGCAAGCCATTCATTTTCTTTCTCTAAGCACAGGTCTCTCTAAAACATCTTCCTCAAAGTACTCTTACTACATGTGCTAAGTTTATATATATACATAAAACATCACATCATGCGGTGCAGTTATGACGTACTGTGTCTACATACATACATACTATATTGTGTTACATTTACAATATGTTACATACACATATTACATCTTACATCACATGGTATATGTACTGCATGTATTTTGACAAAATGTGACCTCCATGTTCCCACCTGTGGAAACGATCACTGAAGTCAAAGTAAGGATCTTCATCACTCTCCAGAGTTTCCCGTGGCAGTCTCCCCTCCTGCGTGCCAGGCCCTTCTGCTCTGCCTTCTGTCCCTGTAGTCTAGTTTGTGAGACCAGGAACTCCAGGTCATAGGTCATGGGCACCGCACGGATGCACCCTCCCATGGGCCCAGGCCTCTCCACTCTGGCTGTCATCAGTAGCTCATTCCATTGGTGTCATCGTCGGTTGGATGTGTGGAACACACCATTTCTTTCCTGATCCCCTGTTTATGGCCCTTTGACAAAGTCCAATTCAAGGTCAGCCCCTTCCTGGGCTACCAGGACCTTACAGGCAGAGGCTCCTGGAGCCTTCTGGGCAGTTCTGTAGCCTGTAAGATAAACACCGTTTTCTGAGAGAACTGGAGCTCACTGAGGGGAAGGGATTCCCCAAGCCAGGGGCAGTGCGGTGGGGGAGGGGAGGAGTGCGCCAGGGATGCGCTCAGGGCTGTGCTGCGTCCCATCTCCAGTGGCGGCCTCCTTCCTGCCACCAGCCGATGGCTGTATCGGCACCCACATCCCAGCCTTCCCAGCTCTCTCTCTCAGTCCCCTGTGGGGAGAGAGCAGTGTCTGGGCCACTGTACAGCCAGGGCCGTCCCCTCTCCCCGCAGGAGGAGATGCACAGCAACGTGGAGGTAGTGCACACCTACCGCCAGCATATCATCAATGACATGAACCCCGGAAACCTGCACCTGTTCATCAGCGCCTACAACAGGTGAGCTGAGCCCGGTCAGGACCTCTGCGGGCCTGGGATGGGGGTGGGGCAATGGATGGGGCCATGAGGAGCTGTCTGGTGCGGCGGGAGCTCTGCGGGGCTTTGGCCCCTGTCCCAGGCCTTGGGGCCAGCTGCAAGGGCAGTGTGGTCATGTGCTCGGGATGGGCAGCAAACGCACTGACCTCAAGGTAAACGCCCTGTAGCAGATCTGGGAGACCGAGAGCAAAGTACTGCGGGAGGCATGCATCACCCCGTGGCCCCTGGGGAGGGGATGTGCAGCGATGTACAGATGACATCCAGAGGTTCTGGAATCTTCCAGGGGCTCACTCAGCCTGAGGAGGGGTTATTATTATCAGGGTTACTTCCTGCCCATGTGGCAAAGGCACACAGAGTGGTTTAGTATTTGACCTAAGGTCGCACAGCTAGGAGGTGGCAGAATGTGATTCCAGGCCTGTTGGCCTGGCTCCAGATTATGGACTAGAAAGCACACAGGCAAGCGGAGTGGCTAGGCGGTCTACACCGGCTCTGACACTAGCACAGTAGAGGCTGCTGCCTGGCAGCCAACGGTGGAAAGTTCAGGTCCACGTCTTAAGGAGGTCGTTGGCTACTACCAGAGGCCTTTGGGCCCAGATGGGTGGCGGAGCTCAGCTTAAGAGCGCAGACTGAACCGGAGGACTCCAGACATCCTAGCCATGGGGGGCAGAGGGGAGGGCCTCAGCCAGCCCTGGCTAAGATGCCCACGAGACCTTATCTCAAGAGAAAAGGTCTGCTTCCTTATGGAGGCCTGTAATCCCAGCAAGAGGATCAGGGTTCGGACCAGCTCAGGCAACAAAGCGTGGTTCTATCTCAAAAATAAGCAGAGCAAAAGAGCTGGAGATGTGGCTCAAGTGGTGGAGCTCCTGTCTAGCAAATACACTGCTCCCCTCCTCCAAAAAATAAAGGAGAGGCCAGGAGGTCAGGGGTGAGAGCAGAGGTCAGGAGGTCAGGGGTGAGAGCAGAGGTCAGGAGGTCAGGGGTGAGAGCAGAGGTCAGGTCAGGTTGGCATCTGTGATGACATGATTTGCACTTCTGCAAAAAAACAACAAAAATCAATTGTAGTATTAACACGTCTGGGACAAAATGAAGTGGGCTCTGTGGGAAACATAAGAGTCCTACTGGACCCTTAACCATTCTATAGGCACCAAGAGGCTGGGGGTGGAGAGCCGCCTGGCCTCTCCCGGAGCAGGTTCATGGTGTTTTTCCAGCCCTGCGCTGGCGCCGTGGGGGCTGGCTCCCCCAGGGTGCTGTGCCCTGCTCATGGTGCCTGTGTTGCTCGTAGCCGGCGGGACCTGGAGATTGAGCGGCCGATGCCCGGTACCCACACCGTGACCCTGCAGTGAGTCGCTCTCCTTCCCCCTGTGGCCAGGGCCTCCGTCCCCTCCACATCCCTGCCCCGTCAGGCAGCCCGCCCTCCCTCGGGGTGGAGAGCCGGCCTTTCTCTGAGCCTGGCACCTCCAGACCCTGACCCAAGCTGGAGCCCTCAGTGTTGGAGGAGACATCCCTCCCCTCCCCCCTGCCATGCCCATAACTGTGCTGGGCTTGGCTTCCCAAAGCCCTGAACCTAGTGGTGCAGGGCCCACCCCAGGAGGAGGTGTGACCAAGGCTCTGTGAGGCACGCTGTCTGCCACTTGTGAACTTGGCAGTGTCTTTTCCTTTGCCGTTCCGGCTAGACCTTGTCTAGACATTGCCGCCCCCCGCTCCTTCCCTAAGGATTGGATGCTTTAAATATAAACTCCAGGACATAGCATTGCCTACCTGAGCTTTATACTAAAGTGTAAATGACTAACTTGCTGTTTTAGCTTAAGAACCAGAGGATAGAGAAGGTGATGGAAAAGGGCATAAAGGAAAACAAGCTCCCTCCTTAGAACCCTAATGGGGCCTGGCAGGGTCTGTCACTGAGCCTTGAGCTGTCCTTGCTCTGTCTCTGTCTTAGGTGTCCTTCCCTGCTGGTGGTTGGGGACAGCTCTCCTGCCGTAGATGCCGTGGTACGTAGAGAGCCACAGTCTCTGTGGCCCGGCCCTGGGTGAAGCCTCTGAACCCACCCCTCCCCCACCCCATCACTCAGGGGCATTGTCCATAAAGTCCACACCGACCTTGGGGCAGAGCCCAGCCCTGGTCCTCTCTATGGGCTGCAGAGCAGAATTCGCAGAATTTGGTTCTGTGGTGAAATAAAACATCTGGGCGCTGGTGGCTCACGCCTGTAATCCTAGCTAACTCATGAGGATGAGAACTGAGGATCAGAGTTCGAAGCCAGCCTGGACAGGAAAGTCTGTGGAGACTCTTATCTCTAATTAGCCACCAAAAAAAAAAAAAAAAAGCTTGGAGGAGAGCTGTGGCTCAAGAGGTAGAGCATCAACCTTGAGCACAAAAGCTAGGCAGCAGCTGATGAGCCAAAGCCCTCCATGTGCAGATTCTCTGGTGGGTCTTCAACATTCCAGCTAGTCCTTAGAACAGGCTCTTCCACAAAACAAAACAAAACAAAACAGAACCATCAACCCCATTTTATTGATGGGGAAACTGAGGCTCGGAGAAGTTACGTAACTTGTCCAGAGTCCCACAGCTGGTCACAGCAGAGCTAGGCTCTGAAGGCCAGTTTAGCTCTGCCCCTCCACCCCCCCCCGCCACCCCCCACCCATCCTTCCTTCCACGCATCAGAGGGAAGCTCGGGTTTCTAATGGGGTGGGGGGGCAGCTGGCAAGGATGGGAAGGATCTTGACCCTGACTCTGGTACCTGACCACGTTCCCCTCTCTGCCCAGGTGGAGTGCAACTCGAAGCTGGACCCCACAAAGACCACTCTGCTCAAGGTATAGAGGAGGGGGGGTTCCAGGAAGTCCCCCCACATCGGGCAAAGTCTCCCTGGGCTGGGCTGAGGCAGAGCGGCAGTGAGGAATCGTGGAGATGAGGCTGTGAGCTGGGCGTGGCAGCCGCACCTGCCATCCCAGCGCTGTGGGGGAGGGGGATGGAGGCGGAGCATGGAGACCTGAGGGCATCCCGGGTGGGTTCCGTAGCCAGATCCTCCTGGGCAGCCGTGCGGGCACTGACCAGCTTCTCTCCCTCCAGATGGCGGACTGCGGCGGCCTCCCGCAGATCTCCCAGGTGAGTGCCAGCCTGGCTTTGCTCTGCCTCCCCCTCCCCCGTCACTGCCCTGGCAAGAGCCCTGTGTCTCCCTAGCATTGGATAATAGAGGACCAAAAAATGAATGAGGCTCACACCAGTAATCCTAGCTGCTCAAGAGAATGAAATCTGAGGATCAAAGCCAGCCTGAGCAGACCAATTCGAGACTCTTATCTCCAGTTAACCAGCCAATAGCCAGATGTAGAGGTGTGATTCAAGTGGAAGAGCACCATCCTCGAACAACAACAAAAACTAAGCTGAATTAGACACCCAAGGCCCAGTATCAGCGCACGCGCGCGCACACACACACACACACACACACACACACACACGACTCCTTGCAGTGCACAGGCCGGAGCGATTTGCCACGTGGACACAGCTTGGCAGTGGTAGATGAGGATCGTGCTGTGCTTTCCCTGGACAGGGACCCTAGGAACTCAAGTCCACAGCAGAGACAGACATAGAGGATGCCAGAGCAAATTGTGTGTGTGTGTGTATATGCGTGGGACAGACCATCCATAGGTGCCCTTGGCTTTTGTGTTTGTCTCTCAGCCACTCGGTGGCCTCCATGTGGGGCAGTATCTTGTGTGAAGGTGACCACAGGCCCCGCTGGTGGTCTGTGGCTATGTGGCAGTATCTTGTGTGAAGGTGACCACAGGCCCTGCTGGTGGTCTGTGGCTATGTGGCTATTGGCCTTTGACCACGTCCTCTCTCTCGCAGCCAGCCAAGCTCGCTGAAGCCTTCAAGTACTTCGTCCAGGGGATGGGATACAGTAAGTACGGCGTTCTACGTCCAGTGTGGGACAGAATTGCCACAGCCTGGCCAGGAGGGAGAAGAATTCTCCGTCACATCAGCCAGCATCAGTTTTTGAATGCTGGGCAAAGCGAGAAGATCTTTTTACAGTCCTTGTTTGGGAAATGTGTTAGTAGTCCAGGTCATTTTAAGACTCACCTCCACCACGTTTGCTTTCTAGCGAGGTGGAGAGTGAGGGTATCTAGCTTGTCTATTCCAGGTAGATCCATGCCCACTCCAGCATGGCACCTTTGCCTGTGGTCCTGCGGCCCCGTGTGGAGATGGGCGGGGGTGCAGGTCACCGGGCCACCTTGAAGGGCCGGCCTCAAGCTCCTTCCCCCTGGAGCTGCTGGCATCTGATTGCTGCTCCCATGGTGTGCTCTGGTTATTGACGCCAGATCAGCTCCTATCCCCAGTTTGTCCTCCAGCCGGGACATCCCACAGGACTTGGGGAACACAGCAGGAAGAGCTTCTGTAGCTGAGGAACCTGTCAAGAGAATGAAACCACCCCTCCTTCAGTGGCTGGTGGCCAGGGGCCTGTGTGACCAGCCCTTGGCATACCAGGTGTCACTGGACAGTGTCCACTGCCCAGGGAGGTCAGCAAGACCCCCCAGGGTGGGGCCCAGGGAAAACCTGAGCCTCAGAAGCAAGTGTGAGAGCCTTGGGCCTTTCTGGGTTCACAGCCAGCCCTAGGGAAAGGATTCCAGCACAGCAGGGGGGGCCCACTAGGCGTCCACTGCAGCGTAGCTGTGACAGTAGGATTGGGCCCGTGGGACAGGCAATTATGGGAGAGCCTGTCCCTGCATCTGCCTCTCCCTTGCGTCCGCCTCTCCCCTGCAACTGTACCCGTTCCCTCTTCTTATTAAGGACGCCAGACTCTAGATTAGGCTCATCCTAATCCAGGGTGACCTACTTAACTCTGCAAAGACCCTGCTTCGAAGCGAGGTTACAGGCTGGGGCTTCCGGTGGACACGGCTTGGGGGAGGGGACCCCGAGGCCCGGGACTGGTGGGAGTCGCTTGTCACTTTCCTTTGTCTGCCACAGCAGTAGGGCAAGCAACCTTGGGGGCTTGGGGACAGTCTCAGAGGGGGCTGCCATTGCCAGTGCCTGGGAGCCGTCCAGCGTGGGCGAAGGTGGACGTTTGGCGCTGCTGTTGCGACTTGCAGGGTGCACCGGTGTCGGTCTGGGGGTGCAGGACTCAGCCCTGCCGGCCTCAGGCAGTGCAGGGTGATGGCCCCATGCCGACGGGAGGGGCCACGCCAGGCCCTCACTGTGCAGAGGGGCCTCCAGGGTCACATAGCTGTTGAGCAACTGGTAGAACTGGGGTCCAGACCCAGATCGGGTTCAGACTGCTTTTGCTGCATGATTGCTGCCCATGTTTCCCCCGTGTGAGCTCTGCTGTCCCCTCTGTAAGTGGACACAGGGACGCGGGGAGCCCTGAGGCTGGATGGCCGCAGGGCGAAGAAGGGACAGGCCAGTGCTGGCCCGTAGGAAGGCATCATGGCTGGTGGGCGGTGCTTGTCCCCTGTTGAGGTGTCAGATGCCCTCACCAGGCTGATTTTGTTTCCCCCAGTGCCCTCCGCCAGCATGACCCGCCTCATGCGGTCCCGCACAGCCTCGGGCTCCAGCGTCACCTCCCTGGAGGGCTCCCGGAGCCGCTCCCACACCGGGGAGGGCCCCCGCAGCCGCTCCCACACCAGCGAGGGCCCCCGCAGCCGCTCCCACACCAGCGAGGGAGCCTGCCTGGACATCACCCCCAGCTCGGGCACCACTGGGAACAGCGCCGGACCCAAGTCCATGGAGGTGTCCTGCTAGGCAGCCTGTGCCCTGCTGCCCTGGACTCTGATCTCTGTAGCAGCGCCGCCCGCCCCTCCTACCCCCAGCCCTCCTCACCCCTGCCCACCGCCCTGTGCTAATGCGATATTAATGCAAAGCTTATTTTGTAAAAGTGAGATCTGGCCATGACAGACTGGGTCTGTCTAGCGCCCCTTCCTGTGGGAGGGCAGGGTAGGTAGTCGTGGACCAAAGGAAAGGAGCGACTCACTGTCCTGCTTCCATTAACTGGCGGCCTGGCGGCCTCTCACCCACCCTCAGAACACCGAAAACTGCCCAAATCCAGGAAACATTTCTGCTTCCGGCCTAGGTTACCCTGAGCATCCTGGTGTGCCAGTGTTTGGCCAGCCCGCCTACTTCCTGTTTCCTCTCCAACCAAAGACTGCGGGAGCCTTTTCCTGGGAATAAAACCTGATCCCTGACTTGGGGAGTGGGGAGCAGTAAGCATAGGCAGCTGGTTTTCAGTAGGCAAAACAGGAAGGGAGGGGGGATTCAGGAACAAGGTGGAATTTAGGCGGAGGCTAAATGCATTTGGAAAAACACGTTCACTCGGTTGACTTGAAGAAATCAGTTCTTTAAAGTTGGCGCGTGGTGTGCCGAAGCACACGAGCTTGTTTTCTTTTTTTTTTTCCCCTTTGATTCTGACTTTTTTTAAAAATGTACAATGAAAGCAGGTGGCAGACGCTGTTAGATTTCTAAGGACAGAAAATGTGTGGCGGTTCAATGCTTTGGCCGTCGCAGGCCTTCACCTTTGTGAGCGAGGAAGCCTGGCTCGATCTGTGGTAGCATTCTCTAGGGTGGAGGAGACCCTTGTCACTCGTGGGTGTCCCTGACTGGAACGAGTCTCCACGCGGGAGAAGTTATGGAGGTGATGGCTACAGCCAAGGCTTCCCAGTGACCGTCCTGGAATCTAGGACAGTCTAATAATAGGTCCCAGGCTGTTCCCCAGGAATCGTGCGTGATGGACAGCTGTCCATCTCCCACCTAGCCTCTTCTTCATCTAGGGTTTCAGTGGGACTGTTTGCTCTCATGCGCATCCACGTGGGGAGTGGTCTGAGGAAGGGTATCGCATGGGAACTTCCTGCCCTCTCCTGCCACCCCCTCCCCACCCTCTAACCTCCTTTGGCTGAACAGGGTGACACACTGACACTGCTCAGTCAGTCTTGACAGCCCAGGGTCAGGTCTCTGCTCCACTGCCTTTGGTTTTCCTCTTGGCTAACCACAGATTTTCCTGTAGGACGTGGGATTGGAGGGAATGGAAGGTGGTGATTCAGCCTCCGGGTGGGGCTTGGTTGATTTCTAGGACCCTACAGTCAGTGGGAGGTGGCTGGAGAGGCAGTGATTCCATGTACCTGCCAATTACCATCTTGGGGGCTTCCCCTGACCTTGTGTATATAGAAAGAACGGGGATCCAGGCAAGAGTGGCTGAATACAGGCCAGAAAGTATTGTACAAGTCATTCCGGAGGAGTTTCTTAATGAGATATTTGTATTTATTTCCAGACCAATAAATTTGTAACTTTGCAGCTGCTTGTGTCTTGTCCCTGTTCCCTGGAGGGGGTGTGTGTGAGAGAGAGAAATCCCAGTCTGGGGATTCTCTGTACTGTGCTAGGTCACCCCACCCCATGGCCCCTCACGTGGGATTCTTTGCTTCAGAGCAGCAACACCACCAGCTAGCTAACTTGTAATAACTACAGTTAGATAACTAAATTTCAGTAGCTAACTTTAGGCAATCGGATTAATAATCGGAAACGAAGGCAACTAAATTTTCTATTAGCCACAGTAAATGAAACAGGTAAAACTATCCAAGATCTCTAAAAAGATTACTATTTGCATAAACATGACCAATCATTTGCATCTTATTTATTTTGTGCCAGCCCAGGGTCTGGATAAGGTCTCTGAATTTCTTTTGCTCAAAGGTAGTGCTCTACTACTTGAGCTGTAGCTCCACTTCCGGCTTTATTTTGGGGTAGTTGGTTGGAGATCAGAGTCTCATAGACAGTCCTGCTTGAGCTGGCTTTGAGTTGTGATCCTCAGATCTCAGCCTCCTGAGCAGCTAGGATTACAGGTGTGAGCCACCAGCACCCAGCTTGCATCCTTTTTCTTATGCTAAAAATAAACCCCTGGTGTTGCAGTTCACACACATGGCACGTCTCAAGTACTAAATTCTTTCAGATCAGCTTAACGCATAAAGAACAGTTGCAACATGGTGTATGCATGTCAGTTCCTACTACTGTAACAAAACACCCGAGGGATACAACTTACTTGAGGAAAGGTTGACTGTGGCTCACAGTGTCAGAGGTTGTAGTCCCAGGGCAGGAGGATGAAGCAGAGGAAGTTGCTCAAGTTTTGGCTGCCAGGAAGCAGAAAGGGGAAGCAGTGGATTGCTTTCCAGCTTTCTATCCTGCTGTGGGCAAGAGAGCTCAGAGCCAGATGGTAGTGGAGGACTCCATGTTTGACTATATTGAGAAGCCAGCTCAGGCGTTGGGTAGAGTCCTGCGGCTGAAGTTGCCCTAGTGGCTCTCACAGCTCAGCTGGGAGGGGGAAGGGGGGACCATGGGGGGGGGGCTCCTCCAGGATTCACATTATCTACGTGTTGGCGATCACGACTGGCAAGGTTCTTTTCCATGTTTGTTCTATGTCTGCTCTTTGGAAGAAGTCATAAAACGAGGCTGGTGCTCAACCTCCTACCATAGCCATCCTGTTGTTACTGATCTCAGAGATTCCTCTCTCCTCTTGGGAATTCTGTGTGGTCCGCTAGAAACACTTCCGAGGTCTGTGTGATGGTGTGTGCGATGGTGTGTGTGTGTATGTGTGTATGTGTGATGGGGTGTGTGTGTGTGTATGTGTGACCCAGCTCACGGCCCCGCTGTCCTGGAGGCAGTAGGAATACCTCAGGGGCCGTGAGTCAGGCCGGAGGGGTGAGGCAGTCCCTCGCCAGTGTGGACAGGATGTGTGAGCTCGTAGGCCATGGCCTGGCGCGCGTGTGGACAGGATGTGTTTAGACAGATGGGCTTGGGGTGGGCTGGCTGCTCACAGCTCTGCCCCATCCCCGCAGAGGACAAGGACTCTCTGTCCTAGGGTTAATCCTTTTGGGTCCCTCTCAAGTGTTTGAAACACATAACCTCTGACCTGTAAAATTACCAAAGAACCAAGTTACACCCAAGTATCCTGATGCAATGTGACAACTGTGAGAGAGTCATACACGAAGTTTTCCTCAGTTAAAGAACTTGAGGCAGATTCTACCAAGGACAGGGGTGGCTGGTCACCTGGTCTGGAAGATGGGGTAGCATACTGGACCCTGCTTTTTCCTGCCTGGGTCCTGCCTAAGGGAGAGAAGAAAGATCCAGAGGTTGCTGAAAGGCCTCCATCAGCTGTGGGAACAGAATGGCTACAGAGTCAGCTGGCTCTGCCACTTGCTTCAGGCCTCAGAAAGCCAGGAAGAAGGGAGGGCTATTTGCATAGATCTGGTGCCCTGGAGCTGGGTGCCCAGAGGCTGTTCCCATCCGCGCCTACTTCTGTTCTGGTGTGCAGAGCTCGGCCTTGCATTGTTTCTGTAGAGGGTCCTCTGCAGAGACAAGCCAGGCCTCACACTGCCGCCCCTTCTCTGATGCAGTCCGACACTGGACTGGACCCTCGCTGGAGCCACGCCCACCTGCTCAAGTGCACACCCTCTCCTAGTGTCTTGCTGGGTGTGTGTGGGGGGGGGGGGGTCTCAGCCTCAGGGGATGAGAGATGGGCTTGGGAGAGGCCAAGTGAGCCCTTCAGCCTCTTTCTTTGTAAGGTGAGATTGTTCTGTAACTGAAACATGAAATGGTGACCCTAACCCTCCCTGATCTTTTAAGTTCTTGGGCCCTAAACCAGCCAGATCTCTTAAGAAGAATCTAATTCATCCAGCTTGATTTAGGTGTCCAACTATGATTTGGCTTGCATTGCTCCTCTTCTCTCTCCAGACCCCATACAGCAGGGGCTCGGAGAAACTGGTGCATTCATGAGCACTGAATCAATCAGTGAGTTCTGTCTGCACCATTAAACCTCTAGCAGCCAAGTTCAACTTGCAGCATGGGCACTGCCTCCTCCCTGTTCTGAGACACCTTTCCTGAACATCCAGCCTTCCCCCGGAGGCATGGACCACCTGCAGAGATGACATAGCCCACGTTTGTAATGCAACTCCCTTGTGTCTGCCCTCCTACCAAATCTAGTGATTTCTTACTTGTGAATCATCGCGGACCATCTGATGCCAAGTGCGTAATGTTTGATTAACTAAGCAGATGAACATTTCCTCTAAGAAGAGGAATAGTGTGCATAATAATTTCTTTCTCCCTTTTGTTTTCTGCCTAGAAGTGGTTCTTCTTGCCTCTGGCATCTGGAAAGCAAAGCTCAGAGGGATTAAATGGCTTGTGCAGCCATGTGGAAAGAGAGCATCCCCAGTCTGTCCTTTTGGACACTTCGCTGAGGGCATCAACGGTGTGCTCTGGGGTCACAGAGCACCTGTGAGTTCCTGGGACCGAGACTGTGTGGGCACACATAATATTTTGGTTGTCTGACGGTATGTTTGTTCCTCCATTAAACAGCCCCCACCACCACCACACAGACTTGGGCAACCTGCTTTTATGATGATACCTTTCATCTGGTTCTGAATTTCTCTCCTTCCTCCTTTGCTCTCAAGCTGACTTTTCCTCAGTGCTATTGATACACCTAGTTCTATCTGCTTTGCCTCTTTTTATGGACTGGATTAAGAAATCCAAATTGTTAGTACTGGGGTTAAAAATAAAGAGATTTAGAAGAAGCTTTTTCTTCTCTGTAGAGTCCAGATTCAGCTAGAGCTTGGATTTCTGAATACAAAGGCAAGTCTTCACATTTCTGTTTTCTCAGTGAGGTGATGGAGGATGCTGACATCTCGAGATAGAGTCTCTCTGTGTTGGTCAGGCTGGCTTCACATCTCCAGGCTCAAGCAATCTCCTCCAGTAGCTGGAACTACAGGTGTATGCCACGATGCAGCAAGTGCTATATGCTTCATAATAAGATTCTCCAAACATTTCCCCAAACCTATTTTCTTAAAACATCAACCACTTGATTCCCTTGTGAATTTCCCCCCAAATCTACACATTTATCTCAACCTGAGGCACCGCTGGGACGTCACAATTTAACTTGCAGTTTTGGAACAATGGCACTGGAAGATAGCGGTGCTCTTGGAAGTGATTCCTGTGACAATCATTATTATTATTTTGGTTGGAATTGAGTCTCCTGGTGGCTTGAATTGGATTATCATAAAAGTTTTGGGGTGAAGGGATGAGAACAGGTTGGCCAGAAAGGATCAAAAGAGACAGGCAAACATCTGCATGTCAGCGTATACAGATAAACATACATACACTCTGTGCTATGCAGAAAAAAGGCAGATCTGCCCTTCCAGCCTTAAAGATGCTGGGTTGCTACTCAAGTTACAGCACAAAACACAAACACTAAAATAAACTGGGTCCCAGGGGCTCACACCTGTCATCCTAGCTATGAAGGAGGCCAAGAGTAGGAAGATCATGGTTCAAGGCCAGCCTGTGCAAAATTTCCTAAGACTCTATCTCAACAGAAAAAGCTGGGCATACTAGCACACACCTGTCATCCTAGCTATAGTGGGAAGTATGAACAGGAGGCTCACAGTCTAGGTCTGTTTTCAGCACATTTGGCTGCTTTCCTTATGCCTCTCCAGGCTCTACTTGGCTCAAAGATAGATGGTAACAGATTCTCCGCCCAGCCACCCAGCTCTGGCTCCTCAGCCTCTTGTCATGTGCCAGGCTCTGTGCTGTGCAGACCTGGCCCCCAGAACCTTGAAGTACTCATAGTCCAATTAGAGATACTGAGTAGTATTTGGTAATGAGTAAGTGAATGCCTGAGATTCCATTTGAGATGAATGATTGTATTGTAGCCAGACTCCATGGACGACTCTGGTCTTCTCAGAATGAATGTCTCTAAGCTACATTTAGGTTTATGTATAAGCTATCTGGGACCTAATGTCCAACGTTTGCACTGTGATGGAATGCCTCACAACAACCGAATACAAGAGAAAAATCCAAAATCCAGTGAGTGAACTTTGCTGATGATTTATTTATCGCTTTAAGGAGAAAAGCCATAAACAAAGAATTGGTGTCACGAGAACTTGCCACGTTGAGCAAACACGTTCCACGCTACACAAATGATAAAACATGACAGACTGACCAACAGTGATTATGCCTCTCGTGGGAAATTCTAAGGCACTTTCTCACATGTATTGTTTATTCACTTACAAAAATGGTGGTAGGCATATTTAAATATGAAATCACAGTTTCAGAACTAGATACATACATACATATATACACACACACATGTGCAAGAATACAGTCGGCCCTTCCAATCATGAGGGACCCCTACCATCATCATGGCCTATCATCGTGGTTGCTTTGTGTCTTTATAAAGCAATGATGTGATTCGACATGAAAGCCGGGCTACACTGCTTCTCCACAGTTCTTCTACATACACAGTATGATTTAAGGAG